CGCATGCTCAGAAAAGCATTACTTGTGTTATAATTACTGATGATTATTTTACATTGGCCAGTTATTAATGTTGGTTTATTTGTTTTTAATTATTTTAAATAGGTTTATGTATGGAAAACTTCTGAAACGAATTCGTTATTTGATCTAAGATAATGCCGATTAGGATGATCCATTTTTAATATAAATGGAAGATGTCCCAGTGACTGTTTCTGTAGTAATTATTTAGTAAAAACGTGTATTACTATTTGAACGTGTTAAACTACTGGATACATAGACATCTGCACATTATTATGCTATTTTATGCACGAGACGATGTTTTCTCAATTGCAAATATCGTTAATCCCACTTACAATGAAGCACCTGAGCTATTACTTTTTCTTTAAGATGGCGTTCTTGAGAATTCGCTGATACAAATGTTTATTCAATGAATCTAAATAATTATTTACTGCTCACGATTCAAGTAAAGTACTATCACAGCAAGACATACCACAGAAACTGATTTGGAAGTCGGTTGGAGCTAAGATATAATAAATAAGTTCACCAGCTTTTGGTATGACATTTAATGCAACCTCCTACATAGTCCCTTAATTTTTATTACAACGAGAACATGACTTCGATAATCTTTCTTATTTATAGAAGATCATAGGCCCAGTTTCTGAATTAAGATTGCCAACTTGAGCGAGCTCATCTTCTACGCAAGGATGAAGAAAGAATTGTGTTCCGGCAGTTAGAGGTAAGATAGCCAGTTCCTCTGTGGTTGAGGATTCCGGGTGAAGCTCGCTTCCACCTTCGGCCTGATCATCATCATCCTCACAGTGGTTAAAAAAAATTAAAGTTCATAACTTGATCAGAAGATGAACACACTCAAGCCAAAATAATTCTTAAAGCCCGATTTCTGGACCATAGTGATCTAAGTAATGTAAGTGCCCTAATCTAATGTAAAGTGCCCCATAAGGGCTACCTTTTCTTTTTTTTATTATTTTCTATTGACGTTCATAAGTGCCACTTGTGGTCTAAACTGAATAAATATTTTTGATTTTGATTTTGATTTTAAGTTTTATGTTATTGTTTTGTTAGAACAAATTATTCCAAATATTCAGTCACAACTCACAACCGTCGCGTCTGGGTAAGTATTTTCGCTTATCTCCACACATCTATTTTGGGATCGTCACGTGAACCAGTGTCACGTTCACTCCATAGTCAATATTTCGTGATATATTTTTAACGGTATCGTGATATTTTATATTCCGATTTGAAATTGTAATTTATTTATCTATCGTGTAGAAACAGCTGGGGTCACGGCTTGACGACTTTTGTGTTAAGCTCAAAGTGCCCTCTGATATGGATCTTTCTTTTCCGTCAATAAAGTTGATGTAATTACTAATTTAGAGTTAGTAGTAGCTAGCAGTTTTATTTAGAGGTATACCTACCTTTACAAGTTTCATGGCATTGATTTTTATCAGTAACATACTAGGTAGACATTATTTAATTCTGTATGCACCCCACGCTCCACTTCCAAACCAAAGTAATAAATACTCAAGTGATTCATTACCCACTTACAATTTTATCACATATTTATTTGGATGACTTTGGTCGGTATGAACCGTTGTCTATCACGAAATTAAATACCTAGTCTATTATTTGGGGTCAATAGTCCATAGAGGCGATTAATTCTACAATTTGGGGCAACGATGAACTGACAGTGTCGTTAGAGTTTATCATGGAAGTTTAAGCACAATGTTGAAGTTTCTTTGGATTTAATTCCGCCATTTTGGGAGGCCGGCCGTGGGAGACTGTAGTTAAACGTAACCTTAATTGAAAATAGAATTCTTGCCAAACGTCCGCCCATGAAGCCCTGCGTCACAGTGCAGAAGGAGCAGAAAGTCAATGCCAAATGTTACGTTTCCTGCTCGATGGACCTTAAGTATGGAAATGGATGGACGAATGAAACAGGTGGTCGTGCTCTGTAGTGTTTCTTCGGTAGGTTTTCATCCAGCAACAGCAATGGACTGCCCTAGGATTAATTGCTTTGCTGATGACGATGAAGGAAAAAATCAGCTCCGCAAAATAGAGAACCCATAAGGTATTATAAAGAGCTGTAGTTTACTTAATAAAGAAAAATAAAATAATAAAACAAGAAGAATATCTTCTGTTTTACTACAGGAAATCTAATATTACTTCGATCGACAAGTTGTCTGTTTGAAGGAACCTAGGCTTTTATGTAAATAGGTCTCAAGCAAACACATATAATAATAATATTGGTCCCTTCCCATAGAAAAGGTAGGTCATCTGAGCAGTTAAAAATCATTCTGAAAAACCTTCTAATAGAATCAAATCAATAGATTTACTGTCCCTACCTTAGCTGTGACTTCGCGTCTGTCCGTACGGCGTATGACTCAACGGAGACTCAAACTCGTGGAGCTATAAAGTTTCTGCAGTTTAAAATAAATCAAACAGTTTATTATTGTCATGAGTTTTTAGGGCGACAGGGGACTTTTCACCAGATGATTAAATATGCCAGTGATGGGTCGAGACATGGGACATTTATCTGTGTAATATGGTGGGTTATTTCAGTTAGGTATAGGTTAGGTTAGGTTAGACATGCGAAATAAATTCTGTTAGTTTGTAAAATTTTTAGAAGTGGTGTCATCATCATCAGCTCAATTCAGCTTAATATTGACTCTACTGCAGGAGTAATTTCTCTAAATTAGGGATAGAGGGAGTAGATTAGAGACTCTACTAGAGGTAACTGGAGGATTTGACCTACATTTCCCACGCTGGCCAGACGGGTTGGGAAGGTCAGATGTTTGCATGTTTCTCCCTTAGTCGCCTTCTTCATTCTACTGGTTGCCTCTTCTTTAGTTTCTTTTTCTTATAGTTCAAAATATTCAGTAGTCAACCCACAACAAGATCAACCAACAATTTCTCCTTCTCCATTCACTCTTTCAAAACCTGACCCGTATTGATAAGCCAAGATCAAACGCGGCATGAGTCACCTCACTATTGAGACTCGACTCGAGTGTCGACTGTCGATTGTCAACATTTTGGTCACAGTTTGATGAACTCGCGTGTTTTGGCTCGGCAGGACATAACATCGGACTTATTCTAATTGGTGACGTAAGACGATTCTATCGATAGGATTGTGACATATATGGCAGAGTACCGATGCTAAGTTGATAACTTGATAGTAAAGTAACGAGGACCATAAAACTTGGTGTGTCTAGGAGTATGTGTTTAATTTAAAGGAGATTAATACGGATAAAAATTTGTTTTTTTTATCCAAATGCGCCGTAAGAGGCTCTAAAAAGGATTTGATTCTTTGTTTGTATCGAATAGACTCCGAAACTACTGGACCGATTTAAAAAAATCTTTTAGTATAGAATCCTACATCATTTCTGATGAACATAGGCGGTACGAAGTTCGCCGGGTCAGCTAATATTTACTATTTTGAACAATGTGCGGTAAGATAACGTCCAAAACCTAAAATACTCTTCGGAAGTACGTAAAATCAGATCTAATTTTACATTTACTAGAAACCTTACAACCGAACCAACGGTATATCCGTCATGTTCACGGTTGTGCTAATTTCGACCCAGAACCGTTATGATAAGGTCGCGATTCCCATGACGATGTCCGTATCAACGCGAATCGCGTTATCTTTGGAATGTCAACAACATCCTACGCACGGGAACTGATCATTGTTTCACTGGTACAGGCGGCACATCAAGTTTTATGATGAATCTTGTAGAGTTTTAATAAGGGTGATTTTGCAACGAGAATGTTTTGTCTAATGTGGTGATGACTTTACTTCGGATTTATTGGTCGTCAGTTCTAAGAGATCTTTTGAAGGAAATACAGATGATATACCTTGAGTAGGTAAGTACATAATAATGTATTTGTCGCCATAACACAAGCTGTTATATCGTATCGGTGGTTATATCGTACTTGGTATGGTATGACCATGGTAGTCATGGTAGTGGTTTTCAAAAAAAAGTGTTACGCATATAAGTTTTAATTTAATTAATCTCGTGAATTATCTTAATCATAGAAAGCAAAAAAGCAGGTCACTATTATGAATTTGTGTAAATAGTGGACCTCCAATATTTTTTTTTGCTTCAAATAGAGAAAGAATCGATTCTCTGATGTATACTTCTTTGGTATATTCCATGCAGTTCTTGTAACGTCTGCCTATATCTCGTTAAATACATAAAAGGTCAGCTGACAGTCGCTCTGGTTGCAACATTGCAATGCCAAGGACGCATGCGTTGGCGGCATAGCCTGGCTATCAATTGAGTTATTATGAATATCACTGAGGTAAGGTTTGAGAGAATTCCCGTGTGGAGGATTGTGACCAATTAGTGCTGGAATTATGTTTGTATCTCGGAGATTTCATACCCCAGAAAGAATTTGTTTTTTTTTGTTGTATCCTAAGGAAAAACTGTCTAAGGCCCTCCGAATGCGGACAGCTTGAAGCAGCTAGTACCAACAGCTTCAAGTTGCGACTGATAGCAAACTACGGTATTCTTTCTACACATGCACGGAATCGCTGAACAGTTGTGACTGCTTCAGGCGGTTGGCAGCACGGTGTTTCAATTGACTATGACTGCAAATGCCATGTATGTTCATCACTGGCAAACTGCTCAGTGTATCCTATAGTCTGTCCAAAATGCCCTTAAACTAACAGCATTATTATGTTCCGGCTTAAGAAGTAAGATAGCCAGTTCCTTTGTGGTTTAAGATTCCGGGTGAAGCTCGCTTCTACATTCGGCCTGATCATCACTTACCATCAGGTGAGATACAGGCCAAGAGCTTCCTCGTCAAGAGCTAAGGCACGTATTTACAAACGATGCTTGCTTACGTGAAGCAGCAAATCGAACACACAGCTTTGAATAGAGCTCTGTGATTGGTTCGTGTGTCACCCTGTGCGTCCACGCGCACTGTGAATCCTCATAGTAATGTTTGTGAATACGGGGCGTAGGTTTAAAATAAACAGTACTCACGATATCATGCCCTTGACTGCCGCTTCTGACGACCTCGGGCGCCATATACTCGATGGTACCGCAGAAGCTGTATGCCCTGCTCTCGCCGCCGCAGAACTCCTTGGAGAGACCGAAGTCGGTCAGCACGATGTGACCTTCCGCATCCAGCAGGATGTTCTCCAGCTTGATGTCTCGGTAGATGATGCCCAGCTGTGGGGAGAAAGGAAACTTGGTATATGGTTACGGGATATTTGTATTGCACAAATTACTAATATTCTTCTTAAAAAAACTGAAATTTTGCTAAAGTTGCTCTGCGAAAGTAGCTCTTATATCGCAGCGTTACGTCTGATTTGTACTCTTACCTATTTTAAGGTAATATTACGATGATAAACGTACTGAAACATTATTTTCAAGCTACTATCACTTCTGATTAAATATAAAAACTAATATCAATCAACTGAAAATACTTATTCCCTTTTTCTGGCTGTAAACATAACCGCTCAAGTTTATAAGGCCATTTCTAAACATAAGCTGAGGAGAAAACTATGTAACATTCCTCAGTCCCTTGTTTAACAAAGTAAGTAGATAATCAAAATGTATATGTCAACGTGAAATTGTGAACTCTGTTAGTTTATAATATAACGCGTTAGATTGTAAACTAACAGTGGGTTAGGTTAGGTTAGATTGTAATTTAACCACGTCCGATTATAATCTGACGGAATTCACAATTTTACGGTGACATATATACTCCAGACACACCCATTATCTTACTTTCAAACTGGGTAGGGAATATTACCAAAGTCTGGAGGGGCGTGACCCAGACTAGCGGCTACTCTGAAAATGTTTACGTAGTTTCGGGTCTGTCTGTCGCCGTCGCTCATGCTGGCATCTCGCTTTGCGTGAGAGGGATGGCAACATTCGAAACTTCGGAACGTTTTTCGGAATAATCCCGCAGACCCGAATCAATTTAGCGTACGTCTGAATTTTGTGAAAGTCAAGGAGATAGTAAGTCTTTACCCGACTCTACAGCGAAGACAAAATAAACGATTATGATTTTAGGAGTATAATTAACGTTCCTCAGTAGCACCTAAATTATTTAATCCGAATTCAATAGACAAGGTGTCAATCGATTCATTATTATGGTCCAAGTAACATAGGCTACATTTTATTAGGGTAAACGCACGCTTAGCCGAGCCATACGCGTTACAGTTTTATAAACTTTTTCATTGAGTATGTAGATCTCTACAAAGCATGTAAGAGATAATATGTATTATACATGGACTATTGTGTATAACCAACAGTATGTTGATGACCTTACAGCTGATTGTCACCGGTCGTAAGACGATAAGAGATTTTTGTCACTTTCTGAAACACCTTCACGATGTTTGTTTTTGTAATAAGATGTCTCACCCGTATTCACAAACGATGCTTGCGTAAGTGAAGCAGCAAATCGAACGCACAGCGTTGAATAGAGCTCTGTGATTGGTTCGTGGCACACTGTGCGTCCACGTGCACTGTGAGACCTCATAGTAATGTTTGTGAATACGGCCGTCTTGAGTAATAACTGTAAGGTCTGACAGTGTGTAATAATTTTAATAGCTCGTTCTAGTTTAATCTAACTTCAAAGGGTCAGGGCGACCTTCAGACCTGGCACAATAAATAAGATTCTGGAGGGATCTAGACACGTGTAAGGGTAGATTTATCATGCGTCGGATAACTTTTAACTGAATCAACTGAACTGAAAATGATAAATAAGAGTGATTTGTAGCCCGCTATAAACGGTTATCACGCCATTTTATCGATTTTTCACATACATTTTGACGTCGATAAAAGTATATCACGGCGCTCATCTTACTCCAGCTGGCGATTAAAAACAGCCCTAAGTGAAAGAGGGTTTGGAATTTTGGATCCACTTGACAATTTGTTGTCAATGTCAAGCTTAATCGTGTTGCAGTCAGTAGTTGCCTGAGATATAGGAGCGGCGCGGGAGGGTGTTTTATTGATGTCAAACGTCAGCGAGACTTCAGATGTGCTTCAGATTTGTATGGTCTGTCATCCCAACTAATATTATAAATGCGAAAGTAACTCTGTCTGTCTGTCTGTCTGTTACGCTTTCCCGCTTAAACCTCGCAACCGATTTTGATGAAATTTGGCATAGAGATAGTTTGAGTCCCGGGAAAGAACATAGGATAGTTTTTATCCCGGTTTTTGAAACAGGGACGCGCGCGATAAAGTTTTTCTGTGACAGACAAAATTCCACGCGGGCGAAGCCGCGGGCGGAAAGCTAGTATCATAATATGTCAATGTTACGTCACCCCTCCCGAAACTGCATTGACTCTGTTACGCGCTAGACACATAAAAAAAATATGTCATTATTTTGTACTAGCTTTCCGCCCGCGGCTTCGCCCGCGTGGAATTTTGTCTGTCACAGAAAAACTTTATCGCGCGCGTCCCTGTTTCAAAAACCGGGATAAAAACTATCCTATGTTCTTTCCCGGGACTCAAACTATCTCTATGCCAAATTTCATCAAAATCGGTTGCGAGGTTTAAGCGGGAAAGCGTAACAGACAGACAGACAGACAGACAGACAGAGTTACTTTCGCATTTATAATATTAGTTGTGATTTATAATATTAGTTGGGATTTTTTCTAGAATAGGCATACCTAACTAAGATTTAAGTCCTCATGATCAACATAGAGTAAAAATGGCGACCCCAATAAAATCAGCAGTTCTTTGACAAGTTTAAGTAAAATTTTGTTACCTTATGCAGCTGTTCCAAAGCTAGTATGATTTCGGCTATGTATATCCGTACTTCGTTCTCGTTGAAGTGTTCCCTCTGGTAAAGGTGCGTGAACAATTCGCCGCCGGCTACGTAATCTGCGGACAAAGAAAAAGTTTCGTTAGTTCTAAGATTTTTACCGGGACAAGTTATAATACAGTCATCATTCATCATCATTTCAGCCAGAGGACGTCCACTGCTGAATATAAGCCTCCTTCAATGATTTCAATATTAACCGGTTGGTAGCGACCTGCATTCATTGCCATTCGCTATCTTTATGAGGTGCTAGGTCAACCATATGAACATTTTGGAATGTTCCAATTTTGAAACTTCATAATATGACGAGCTTAGAATCATAATGATAAAACTGTCACTTTTAATAAGTCCAGCAGCAGTTAACATGCGTTTATTTTGAAGTAACTACCTTCGTCAAATACCGTATTTTCGAACACAGAAAGTTTGCAGAACAGAATGCAATGCAAGATCAATGCAATCGCTACTAGTCGTCAATGATATAACTACTTAGTCTTTTACATATGGCTATGGAGATACTTCGATGATATAGCTTGAAAAACAAATCTAGCACTATATGAAGTATTCCTTTGCTTATCCCCAGGTCCCTGCTCAAGTAATAAAAAATAACAGCACGTCCAAGGATCGTTAACTTCTCTGATTGGTTGAACACGAGCCTTGAACATTCGCTATTATAAAAGATGACACAAGGACGTCAGCACATCAAGCTTGACGCTGATTCTTATGCAGTTGAATTAGGAGCTATTTTGCAACTGAAATTGCCAGTCAGGGTCTGTCAGATTATGATCTACTGTGATAAATATAGTCTATAAAATATATTTATAATTGTATTTTATTAATCAAATAGAATAGCTTCCTCTAACCCTAAGTTGCATGCCCGAGTCCATGATCGTAAAACATAATTATACTAATTGTGTATTTAAATAACATGAAGGTTTACATATTGACTATTGAGACAGTCAGACACCAGTAGAGGCCTAGGATGCATACCAAGATAAACTTTTCATCGTCACCATCATCATTTCAGCCATAGGACGTACGTACACTGCTGAACATGGCCTCCCCCAATAATTTCTACTATAATGACCGGTTGGTAACGGCCTGCATCCAGCGCCATCCTAATACCTAAACTTACGATAAATTTTTATCGAGATATTTTATCGACTAAGCACGATAAACTCATACTTAAGTCGTCTAAAATCATCGATAACATTTTATCACGGCGCGCATCCTAGCCCGGCTGTTAACTAGGCTTGTGACAATAGAAGAAACGATTAGTTATCTAAATTAACTTCATAAAATGTGCTTTTAGTAGGTTAACGCTGACCTTATTTGTTTAAAACGTGACATTGTACCAGAACATTTTATAAATCACGTCATATTATTTTAAAAATGTAACTAAAAATACTTAACATTTTTTAAATAAATGTGTATGTTGTAGGTATAACAAAATACCTTGAAGAATAACAAGTGAAGCCTACGATAAAAAATTACAATGTGAACAAATACATATACTCCAAGGCTCAACGGTTTAAGGTCAAGTTTGCAAAGTTTGTTTCAAGTTTTTTATTAACTGTAGATTTCTTCACTTGTGAAGAACTTGTTTTTGAGAAAGTTTCAAACTAAACAGAACTTCTCTATTAAAGTAATTTAGGCTTTTTATAGCTTCCTTCATGAAATAATGTAAAAAACTCAAGAGAATCTGAAACTTCATTTGTATTTTGCTCTTTTATGGAAAAAAGACATGTATAACATAGGCTATATTAGTTTTATTGTCTTCTGTGTTATTGTCATTGATTTTTACATAGGATTAACTTCCAGTCATTGACAAAATACACCTTGAACGTCCTTAAAATTAACATTACTCCAAATGCAAATTGCAACTTACGCCCGTTTATCTCCAACAGTCGGAGTCTCTTAGTTTTTTAAATAGAAATGCAATTTTTAATTAAAAAAATAACGGTCCAAAGACTGGTAGTTTTACCCTATGATGTTTTACTTAAGCTAAACTCCCTAAAATGTTTAATGGTTCGAAGGCAATAAATACATGTTTTAATTATTTAAAATACAAATTTATTACAGCTCCAACTAAATATCTATCTCGGTAGATGAAATATTTGAACGTTCAGACGGTTCTGAAGCAGTATTACGTAGGTATGGCTCGCAGAACACATCTAGGCCAGAGCGATACGCGGCCTACATAGAGCACAAGCGAATTAATTTCAATTTCAAACTAGATGAGGGTTTTCTGAAATTCAATTAATTAATCTAGATACGTTTTTCTGTTGTTAAAGAAGATCGTTTGAAGTCAGTTACTAAAAGAACTAATCATTTTATTATATTTCACCATTACGGCTTCACCCGCGAGGATTTTATAAATAAGTAGCCTCTATCTTACTCAATGGAGTAACGTTGCTTACTGCTGGTGAAAGAATTTTTAAAACCTTTTCAGTAGTTTCAGAGATTTTACTTCCTACAATCTTAAAAACTTTATAAGTAAAAGTATGATTAATCTCTTCAACAGATGGTTGTCAAATAACACTTACTATCAAACTGTCTTCTGGATTAATCCAGGAGTTTTAAGAGTGTATTATGACGTCTTTGGGACACTTACATACTTTTAGTTGTTGACAGTAACAACTAACAACATAATATTTATCATACCTTTATTTTTGAAATGTTATTCGCTTATGTTTATTCAGTCAGACTGCATACGTATCCTGGTAACCTCAATACTGAAGCAATAACGAGCGTCTGCCCCAACTGGATCGACAAACACGCTGCGAGTGTTTGTAATCATCGTTTTTAATAAAGATTTATTGTTGATTTTACTTTTATTTTTTTCATTACATTATTGTTAATTTTGCGTTTAATTAAGGATTACATTTACGTAATAATGATATAAACGGTCAGGAGTTCTAAAAACCAATAGGCCTAGGATGCGCGTCGCGATAAGCGTTTATCACGCCATTTTATCGATTTTACGCGATAAGCCCATACATTTTTCGCCTAAAATCATCGATAAGATTTTATCACGGCGTGCATCCCAGCCCGGCAAGTGTTGAAAAAAGAAAGATATAGAAATAGAAATATCAGTGGCAGAATTTCACAGTGCTGAAATTTTGACTTTTCACCTGAATTCTGAATCAATTAATACTGTGATTACCATTTATTTGTCCCACAGATCACAGAAACTAAAGGGAGATGTGACAAGGGGAAGACAAATATTTTGATTACCTACTTTGTGTGCGCGAATTTCTTAAGCGAGTTTTCACTGAGTTTCGAACTCAGCGCATTTGATTTGTTCATTTTGCCCGGTCGGCTAATAATAATAACTTACACAAAGAAACCAATCTCCCATAAACTGTGTAAAACAGTTAAAGTACAAACCAAACACGTGCAACCGTTAGAACAATAGGCGCGATTGGGTGCGCGCGCGCAAGTCGGGTCAAGGCGGGGGAAGCGTTATGAAATGCTGTGTTTCGATAGAGAAATGCGTTGATTTGCACTTCCTGCTTATGGTTTCATTGATTGATTTGAGAATTAGGTACGTTCTAATTAATGAAATTGTTTTAGTGGAATTGAACGCTTGGGATGATAAATATAATTCATCTTAGGATACTCATGATCGTGTCCTTATACAGTATGCTTACCATAACTTTACGTTAGGTGTCCTCGCTAGCAAATACGTAAAAAAATTACATTAAATATAATATGACAGATTGTACAGCGCCCCTAGCGGCTACTTTCAAGAACTAAAATCTTCATAGATTTTTTGACGTACTCGCTAGCGAGCACACCTAATATAAATAAACTCATGGTAAGCACACATATCCCTGTATCATATTTACAGCAGATTTAATTAACTGTAAAAATACGGCAAAATTAAAGAAATACCAATGACCTACTTACTTAGTAACAAAATAATTTTGAGATTATTCTAAAGCAAATTGTCTTTCGTACTCTGTAAGAAGAGAAATTGATACAATCTCATTACTTGTTATACAATTTATGTAAACAACTGATTAATTTTACTTTCAAGCCTACTTGACTGTTAATTTCTAGTTTCTAGATCTCCACTGTAGAAACGGATAAAGCAGGCTCTTTTTAAAGTATAGTTTCTTAACATGCAATAGCAGAATCGCACAAATTGATTGAAATTCTTTTAACACTAAGGCCCAGAACAGACGGTGAAACGCAACTGCAACGAAACTGCAACTTTCTGATGATTCTGATGAATGAAACTGAAACTGAAAGTTTGAAACTGGTCGCGTCATGTGTGGTCTCTCAACGGACGCTATGGCAGAAACTTAGCTGCAACTCAAAATTAACTAGCAGTTGCAGTTTCGTTGCAGTTGCGTTTCACCGTCTGTTCTGGGCCTTACTGCACAGAGAGTTTCAGAATAAAAAAGCTCGTCACATTGATTCTTCTCCTTGTCACATGCGCGTGGGCATAATGGTTAAATATCAAACGTGCCGCATTCTATTTCGCACTTTATCTCCAACTTAAAGAGTACATATTTCTTTGAACTTTACTGAACCAATCATGATACTGATTGTTTACCTAACCTGCTTCGCAAGCAAGGCGCAAACCCACTGTAAGAACTTATTGTAAGAGCGATAGCACATCAAACTTATACTGTGGCATCTTATGACGTTGAAATAAGTGCTATTTTTCAGCAAAAATGTGTACTGTGTTGTTCACTATACAGTCAGCGGCAAATGGTTTGTGACACCCAAAGTAGCAAAAAAAAATCGCAACACGTCTTTAACACAATAGGAATAAGGGGGCGTCCATAAATTACGTGAGACAATTTTGGCTATTTTTCAACCCCCCCGCCCCCCTTGGTGAGATTTGGTGAGATTTTGCCTGACCCCCTCCCCCACCCCCTAATCTCACGTGATATTTAAAAAAAAACGAAATTTAATAGTTTGGAGTAATTTAACTGAGAAAGTTTTTTTTGTGTGCTTAGTGCGAGTTTGCATTTACCGTTGTCGCTAATGAGTGCATCAAAAAGATNCCTAATCTCACGTGATATTTAAAAAAAAACGAAATTTAATAGTTTGGAGTAATTTAACTGAGAAAGTTTTTTTTGTGTGCTTAGTGCGAGTTTGCATTTACCGTTGTCGCTAATGAGTGCATCAAAAAGATCAATAAAGTTTAAGATTTTAGTTCTTGACAGTATCTGCTAGGGACGCTGAACAATCATCATACATTTAATGCATGTCATTTTTTAAAGTTTCAGAAATTTCATTCTTCTTCTTCTTATTCGTTACGCTCTTGGCAGAGCGGTCGTGGTCACGTTGAGGCGTTGTTCACATCGGTTGTAGAGGCGGATACAACTCTCCGCACGATCTCCCTCCATCTCTCTCTATTGGCAGACTTTCTGGTGCAGTCACATAAGCCGTCTCACACTGCTGCTTTCACTTGAAATTTCATAACTATCTAATAAAAATTCCTTAGAAGAAAATATTAAAAGCGACTTTAGGTGAAGTAGTTGCTTGCTTCTGAAATATATTTTGTTAACGACGGACAACTACGGAACCCTACACTGCGCGTGGCACGACACGCACTTGGCCAATTTTTTTACTTAAGATTTAAACCCAGTTTTCTGGCAAACTCTATTCCTCTAATTATTGCGGAAAAAATTACGTGATATTTCCTGAGACCCCCCCTCTCCCCCACGTGAGATTTAGTGAGGTTTTTGTTGACCCCCTCCCCCCCCTAAAAGTCCCACGTAATTTATGGACGCCCCCTAAGGTTGTGTTG